CAGAATGTCTTGTATTTTCTTAAAGGTGTGTCCTGTTCTGCAACATCACATTCATTTCACTCACTTCGACAGTCTGGTTTGTCGAGGTTCTGTTCTCAAATCTCATTTTCCATAAAGGAGTTTGATTTTGTAAGAGAAGGTGAAACCCATGATTTATTTCTGTATTCTTAATAATTGTATCTGATTAAGAAAAGATTTGTAAAAAAAATATATGGAAAGACATTTCTTTTATATAATTTTTACAAGACAAAGACTAAAGACAAACCACTGACTTTACCTGTCACATTTTATGTCCATTCTAACTTGTCTCAGGACAACAGGCTTACACTGACTGTGGTACTGATAACTATATCCTGCACACAGCACACAAACACACACAACACACACACAAACATCACACAAACACACCAAAACAACACAAACGACAGTCTGTGGTCGTGGCTCCTGCTGTGTTGCCGCCCGGATGTCTCTCGGTGTGGACCGGCTACGAGCGGGGGCGGGAGTTATCTTCTAATTCAGAGCAAAACTAGCTTGTGACGCTGGGCACACTCATACCCCGCTGCCACGACTAATACTCTCTCGCTTCGTGTTCAACTTTGGTCAATTCAGTGTCCCTCTTCTACACAGTCTCTGGTGTGGGTGTGACCGGCACGAGCGGGGGCGGAGTTATCTTCTAATTCAGAGCAACGTAGTTGTGACGCTACACTAATACTGACACTAATACCGCTCCGCGTCAACGCAACCAGAGTACGCAGTCTTCAGACCGGAAATGTTTATTTTCTCCACAATAAAAGCCTGATATTGTTCATATGCTTATTTATTATTTTACCATAAAATAATGATACCATAACCATAAAATATGTATATATGGTTATTAATATATAAATAAAAGTGTAACTGTGAATACCTTTTAACAGACCTATAGTTACTAAACTGTATTAGTCTTTGAAAACCCTTTAAGTCAGACATCAAGAATTTAATAGAAATGCCCTTTTAGTACTAATTGTTATTTTTGCTCAATAAATGATTTGCCACACATTTGTAAATACCTTCTACATGGATCCCCATTAATTCACAATTTAAATGAAAATGTCTGTATTACTCATAAACTGTATATTTAAAAAAAGATATTACCTATTTAAATTTGTTCCACATGGCCAATCTTTTTAATAAGTTATGTTTAAAATTTCACCCGTGAAACCTTTTTTTTCTGTTTCTTTATTGAAATGGAGAAGACATAAAATATCAATTACAACAGTGACATACAATCTAACAATGACAACTGAAAATAGAAAATCAATAATGACATATAAAATACACAAAATGTGAATAAAATGAGTCATGAATCCTCAGGAAACCCCTATCTTAAATGTTGCATCATCGAGGATTTTATTTTGAATTTGCAAACCGGAAGTGTTTGTTATCGTTACCAAACTTGACAGGAGTTTGTACAACCAGCCAGCCGGCGGTAGCTGAAGGAATCTGGGGGACACATCGGGCTGGCCAGTGAGTCAGTGAGGAGTGTTACTCTTGGATCCAGCCTTCACCTCAGCGGGAACAGAGACTTCTATCGGCAGTGGAAACGGGAAACCATGATGGCAGTCCTGGGCAGCGCCGGTCGCTTGATCCAATGTGAGTGTGACAGTGCAGCTAAGTTAGCCTGGTGACGGACACCTTCAACTTTCATCATTTGGCTCTGAAATAAATGCCCCAGAGTAAACTGTGCTGCTGTGTTTCTTTGGGGCAGTTTAAAGGCAGTTTCCAGTGACGGGCTGGCGTTGTTTGGTGGTAACTCAACAGCACGCCGCTGACATTGGCATCATTATTTCGTAAACGGGGGTTAAGGTGGCAGAGATGTTAGAGTACAACTTCCTGTCAGGACTTTCACATTACTACCCTCGCTGTAACTTTTAACACCCAATTCCGTGTATTATCGACTTTTATAGCACCAGCATCGCTTTATGCGTACTTTAACAGCTCTGGTAGTGTATTCCTTGTCCATGTGTGGCATTTTGTTACTTTTAAATGGTAATATTTGCTGAAAGGTGGCCGTTGGTTTGCTTTTATTTTACAGACCATGGCGGTGTTTCCGTAACAAGCTTGTCACTAACAGCTGCTGTTTTGTCGCAGCCCAACATTACTGTAGGTTACTGTTTAATGTTAACGTTACATAATGGATTTATCCTGTGCTTGCGCTTCATTTAGCAACAGCCAGGGGATCCTTAAATACGACACGTAGCCGTAAAGGGGCCATGTTTCCACTGAGAGAAAGAACTCAACATTCTCTCGGAGTTACACAATTCCAGCGTTGTGAACTTGCATAATCACAGCAGGCCCCCTGGTGGCGCGTCAGGGTACTGCAGCCCGGGTTATGAAAGTAGAGCTGACTGTATACACTGATAGATCTATCTATCTATCTATCTATCTATCTATCTATCTAACTAACAGTTCAATTATTAGCTATTAGTTTTCTGTGTGTCCTGCAGCTTGTAGCATGTGTCTTTGTCTCACTGTTTTCCATGGCAGTGGTGCTAACTGTTAAAGGCTGTTTAAGGTCACTTAGTGTGACCTCCTGTAAGAGGTCACTGTAGAGCCAGGGACATATTATTTAACTTTACTTCTTTACAAACTAATGTTTATTGGCCATCATTTTATATTAATAGAAATAGAATTTGTGAAGTCACAAATCATGCTTGTAGAAACTTTCCACTTTCAGCAGATGAATGTGAAATCATCTTTCTAGTGTCACACTCTGCACAGACAGCATTCACACAGCACACTGT